ATACCGGGACAGCAACATGCACTGATGTAGTCACAGACTGGGTCAGAGTCTTTACACTGAACTATGTCCCCTCCCTTTTTATTTATTTTGAAACATGGTCTCACGAAATCAACCCAAACTGGGCTTGTTTTTTTTTTTCTTTTTCTTTTTCTTTTTTTTCTTAGTACTATGGATTGCACTCAGGACCTCATGCTTGGGAGGCAGGTACAGCGCCACTGAGCTAAATCCCCGGCCCTGGGCTTGAACTTATGATCCTCCTGCCTCAGCCTCCAAGAACACTAGGATTACAGGTGTACAACACTGTACCTAGCTAGTTTTTGTTTGTTTGTTTCGAGTTCCTGTTGTCAATGGAAAGCACAAGGTAAAGCCAAAATGAATGAATATGTCTCAGGTGATTGATATTTAAATTAAATACATAGCATCTCTTCTCTGGATGTGCTTGCTTGTGGGGCTTTGGGAAAGGCCCACTGAACAATTATGCGTACTTTTATTTTATTTTAAAAAATTTGGTTTTTCAGTACTGGGAATTGAACTCAGGACCTTGTGCTTTCCAGGCAGGCATGGCACCATTGAGCCACATCCCTGGCCTCTCTGAGCATTTCTAGAGCTGACTATATAATCTTGCATCTGCACACAGAGGCCAGGAGGAATGAAATGCATTCATACAAGGTCCCCACCATTGAGTATAACCTTGTCCCAAGTAAGGAGTTATCCAGGAAGGCAAAAGTCACCCGAGTCTTTCCCCTTGCACTGATGATGTGGGAAATCGACCCTCTGAATCTCCTTCTCTGGGCTATGCCATGGCCACCACCATTACTGGCTCCAGCTGTGGACCACTGGAGTCAAAATCCACCATCATGATGCAGCACGTGGCTACATGCAGCTCTGTGAAAGGAGGCACAGCATTTCCCAGAGTCAGTGCCATTGGAAAGGCCACAAAGAGAGAGTCAGGTGAAGCCAGGTATGGTGGTCAAACCTGTAAAGTCAGCCTTCTGGGAAGCTGGGGCAGGAGGATCGTAAGTTCCAGCCCAGCCTGGGCAACTTAGAGATTTAGTGAGATCCTATTTCAAAATTTAAAAGAGGGCTCAGGGGCTGGGGATTTAGCTCAGTGGCATAGTGCCTGCCTGGTAAACATGAGGTCCTAAGTTCGATCCTCAGTACCAAAAAAATTAAACTAAATTAAAAATAAGAAAAGGCTCAAAATGTAGCTCAGTGTGATGGCCTTGGATTCAATCCTCAGTAGAAGGAGAGGAAGAGGAGGAAAACGAAGAGGAAGAGCAAGAGGAGAAGGAGAAAGAAACAGAAGCAGCAGCAGCAGGAGCTGAAAGAGCCATCATCAGTTCACAACTGAGTATATCAAAGAATCATCATAAATGATAAGAGGTACTTTGGGGAAACTGTGCTCAGCACCCTAGAAGTAACAGAAGCCCTCAGGAAAACTTCCCTTCAAGATCAGCAAGAAGGACCCTCAAAACCTGCATGGCTGAGGCCAAGAACAAGGTGGAGAGGGGGCTCACACTCTTGCAAATGGCTTGGTCTAAAAAAAAAGTCAAGCAAAAAAAAGAAAAAAATCAACCCACAGTTAATTTTATACTCAACCTAAGAATTAGCATCTACTGTGTTTGCAGTTTGACCCAATCCCTCACATATGTAAGAAAAGGAAATCCAGGGCTGGGGATTTAGCTCAGCAGCACTGAGCCTCCCTTGCGAATTTGAGGTCCTGAGTTCGATACCCCATACCAAAAAAAGAAAGAAAGAAAAAAAAAAAGAAAATGAAACCCACCTGTTTTCATAATGCACTGTTTCCAGGCCTGGCCAAACCTCTTTATCCCTCTGCCTCCCTACCACCCAGATAGGGAGACTTTGGTCCCTGTTTAAAGTCATCTTTTCCCCAGTTATTTCAGATAGTTCCCCGCCATTCCAATGAGCTGGTGAAGCTTAAGCTGTAGATCAACGCATCCCTGCTGGTGATCAGATCAGGCAAATCATAGCGTGACAATGTGGGGGCCCCTTTGCTTAAATAGAGGTTTACATTTTTCTGTATTGAGCATATAAGGACTTTTTTCCAGTCACGGCCATTACGCCCATAGCTTCACACCGAGCTACATGCCCAGGCTTTTCGTGTTTTTGTTTTGAGACAAGGTCTCACTAAATTGCTTCCTTGCCCAGGCAGGGCTCAATCTGCAAACTCCTCCTGCCTCAGCCTCCAGAGTGCTGAGATTTCAGGTATTTGTTACCATATATGGCTAACATGAAACATTTTTAAAGTTACAGATATATTTTCAGAGTACTGTAGCAATGCTTACCCACCTGTCACTCCCCCCTCTCCTTTGCTCACACCATTTTATTTCATTCTGACATTCAGATAAAGTGTACGTAGTGGGACTTCCTTTAGCTCCAGAAAAAATCCAGAAATAATCCAAACAAATCCTGAACATCCCCTCTCCTGGTGATTGGTGTAGGGTTGGCAAGTGACCAAGTTCTTCCCTGATTTACAGAAGAGACAGAGGAAAAGAGCCTAACACTCTACTTCTTTCATGCTTTTGATATTATTACATAAAAATGTGATGTTTAGATTTGTAGCTACCATCTTGTTACCACGAGGAAGAAACCAAGAAAAATCCCAAAGAAGCCTGAGTTTGAGCTGCTGAACTAATTAACCCTGAAACCATCAACCTCAAGACTTTGCTACATAAAGTAATAAGCTATTGTCCAAACCACTTTAGTTAGCTATGTTTCTTGCAACCAAAAACCATGCCAACTGATAGAAATACCATAATTTCAATGTCCAGCTTCCCAAAGAGGTGTGTCAACCTCTTTTGAAACACTCTTTCATCCAGCGAGACCACAGACAGAATAATACAGCAAAGCCCATGCCCCTCGGAGACCCACCTCTCGGAGGTTGGTCTTGCATCGCTCCCCCTGCTGGTCTTTGGAGGCAATGGCAGCTCCACGTCTGGAGTGACCAGTTCTACCCCCAGGCCAGGCTCACTTTGTCCATCTGGGCCCCTCTACCTTGGGGGTGGCATCTTCTGAGCACACTTGGATTCCTGCCCTTCCAGCACAGGGATCTTCCCAGTTCCCAATGCAGATCCCTGTATTCCCACAGGTCCCTCACGTAGAGGGGTGTAAGGTTTCCAGCCCACAGTCACCTGGCTCTGGGCACTGGTTTGTACCAACTGAGGGTCCAGACACAGTAACAAGCATATGTCAACAAGCAACATGCTCTGTGTTACCATGGTGTTTGTGCGTTACAGGCTGAACATCCTTTATTTTAATATGCATAAGCATGAATTTATGTATTACAGGTGGAGATTCTTTACCGAAAATGCTTGGGACCAAAAGTCTTTCAGATTTCCAGGGGTTTTTTTTCCTTCAGATTTTGCAGCATTTGCATACATATAATGAGGCATCTTGGGAATGAGATCCAAGTCTAAAAGCTAAACACATTTGCCTTATATAAACCTTATACACATAGCCTGAAGGTAACGCATACAATGTTTTAAGTAATTTGGGCGTGAGATAAAGTTCTATGGGATAGGATTTTTCCATTTATGGCACTGTGTTGATGTTGACAATTTTCAGATCTTGGAGCAGTTTGGATTTTGGAATTCTGAATTAAGGGTGCTCAACCTGTATTAGTTTGTACTCTGTGAGTTCTCACTAAGTCCCAGACACCACCCTGAGGACTTCACATGCAGTGCACCACTTCATTCTCACACCCGCCTGGGGAGGCAGCTCTCAGTTAATTGCAATCCTCTTTCACAGAGGTGGAAAGGGCAGCCTAGAGAGGCCCAGCAGCTCGTGACGGGCAGAGCTGGGCTCTGGACAGAGGGAGCCAAGTATAAAATTTCTTCTCTTCATCACGTGGTATGCTGCTGCGCTTTGCTCAGTTGGAAGTAAAATGGGGAGGGGAAGAAGCTTCTGAGGAAAATATGAAGTAAATAAATACAAAGGCGCCATTTATAAGAGGTACAAGAACAAGGTGACGGTGACAGAAGTCACAAGAGCAGCTGCTTCCGGTGGGCGGGGAAGAGGTGTCGGCAGGGCAGAGGCAAGAAGCTGCTCTCTAGAAACGTTTCACTTCCGGGACTGGGTAAGGCTCCCCCACTGCAGCCATAGCAACAATTAACTTCGAACCGGACTCTTTGGCGCACTGTATACACTCCGCTGTCTGTATCTACTGTCTCACTTCAATAAAAAGTCTACTAATAATAGCAGGAATACGGCTGAGCATCCCTAAACTGAGAACCCAAACCTCTGGATAATTTGGAGCACAGACATGAGGCCACCGTGGAAAATTCCACACCGTGAAGCTTTGTTTTGGGCACAAAGTTGTTGAAAATATTGTATAAAGTTATCTTTGTGAAATAAGGTGTATATGGGACACAAATGAAGTTTGTGTCTAGGCCTGGGTCCCCTGCTCAAGGTGTCTCATTGTATATCCGTAAATATTACAAAATCGGAAAACATCCAAAACCTGAAACACTTTGCGTCCCAAGCTTTTCCAATAAAGGCTGCTCAACCTGTACTACATAATAAACACGAAGATGAGGTGCAGAACTCTCAAGTTCGGAGAAGCCGGCGCAAGCAAGCTTTACAAAAAGCTACACGACAAAGACTGTCATCCCCTTTTACAGATGAGGAAACTGAGGCCAGAGAGAAAAGGCAGGAAGTGAGAGGCAGGTAGGCGCAGACGAGGATCTTCTTGGCCCAGCCCCAGGGCCGTCCCCATCCTCTCCCTCTGCAGCCAGCCGTCCTGGCCAGGGCCCCGGGTGGCTGGAGGGAACAGCATGGCCCATGCCCGAATTTGCCCAAGCCGCCTGCTCCCCTCACCCTCCCGGGTGGCAAACACACATGTTGGCCTTTTGCTTTTTTCCTTTTTCAGTCACAGCTCTCCTGTCCCCCAGCTCCGCCTGCCAAGCTCCACATTCCTGGCGAGCGCTGCAGGCGATGAGACGGGAGGGGCCGGGGGGAGCCCACACCCCAGCCCCACTCACCCTGCAGCATGCTCCTGTAGGCCGTGTCGGCGATGGCGTAGATGTGGGGCGGCATCTCGTGCCTCTTCTTGCCCTTGTACATGTCCACGATCTTCTCCGAGTAGATGGGCAGGTGCTTGTAGGGGTTGACCACCACGCAGAAGAGGCCGGAGTAGGTCTGCGGACAGAAAAGAGCTGAATTCCGGACCTCGGCAGGAACAAGGCCATCAACAGAGTCGCTCAAGACTCTCACCGTGGGGACAGGGAAACTGAGGCTTAGTGGGAGCCCCTTGGCATCATGGGTATTCTGAGTGCAGGCGGAAAGGAACAAGGGCAAGACTGTGTGGAGGGTGCCTGTGTTGTAGTTTACCACTGGCTGATTTTACGGGTTCTAGTCTCAAATAGCAGCTCCAATCCACAGCTGTCTGAGGCTTGGGGACTTAAGTAGCAGCCCCCTTTCATGAACGCTCCCTGGGCACCCTCCCTTGAGTGGAGCACTGCACAACATCTTCCTGAATCCTCTTAGCTGACCCGTGATAGCGACCCTGATGTGGAATAGGATCAATGCAGCTTTGCTACCAAAGGAACCAAGGACTGGCACAGGTTGTGCTACGAAGGTCCTCCAGAGCAGGTGCCAACGAAAGACACCATGTGCAAAAGTCCAGGTATTGCATGATTTGTTTGTTTGCTTTCCACAGCTCTGGGGATTGAAACCAGGGCCTTCACGCTGAGCTTCACCCCCAGCCCAGTTTGATTTTTCTATTCTGAGACAGGGTCTCGCTAAGTCACCCATGCTGAGCTTGAACTTGTGATCCCCCTGCCTCAGCCTGAGTGTGCAGAACAGGAAACTGCAAGAAAGAAAACAGAGACTCGGGGCTCCCAGGGGCTGGGGAAAGTGGACCGTGAGGGCTGCTTGCTGAAGGTAGGGGTTTCCTTCGGGGATTGTGACAGGATCCTGGGGCCGAAGGTGTGGCCCAGGAAGAGCACTTGTCTGCTAGAATCTGTGAGGCCCTAGGCTCCACCCCAGCACTGCACACTTGAACAAATTCCCTGGAGTTGTGGAGGTGATCGTTGCAGGGTGGTGAATGCACTAAATGCCACTGGATTGTGTTCTCTACGCTGTGTAGAGTGGTGGGTACCGGGTTGCGTGTATTTTGAGAGGGACCAAAGGAGAAGGAGCAGAGAGTCCCTCTCGGGGTCACACTGGAGGCAAACCTAACAATAGAGAGGCTCAGGGACTCGAGGAAGCCGCCAAGCGAGACCCTGGTGGCAGGACACCCAGCTTGACCTCTCCTGCCATGAGCGTGTCCACCGAGCTCCCCAGCCTCTGCCCGCCCTCCAGCAGTAAGTTGAGCAGCGTACACGCACATTCACTCTGTACTTCCCAGACACTGCAGCCAGGGTGCTGAGACTATAGCAGAGGACACCAAAGCCAGAAAGGCCCTGCCTCCCGGCTTCTGGTCAAGGGCTGGGAAGGTGAGTGTGGAAAGTCCTCCCAGGCGCAGCCTCCTGGGTGGGGGGCAGTGGTGTGTGACAGCAGCGGTGCAGTGGAGGAAGGGAACCCTTCCTTGGTACAACGGGAGGAGGGGAACAGTCTCCCAGGTCGGACACAGGGCCTGTTTAAACATCCAGCAACCATGGACTGAGCACCCACTGTATACCACGTCTGTATTGGAGGTTGAAGATAAACCAAGGATGGCCGTTGCCCTCACAGAGTTTACCAAGCAGAAGGGGGAGACCCAGGCACTTAAATAGTCAGTCATGAAAACAGGGGCTTGTGTAAGGCAGAGAAGTGCCTAAGCCACGTGGTGGTGGTCGGCCGTGGAGGTCAGCAAGCTTCTGGGGGCGCTGCTCTGGTGCCGAAGCTTACGGGACGAGGAGGTGTTTACTGGAGGGGTGCAGGGGCAGGAAAACAGACGTGGGGTGCAGGAAGTTAACTGCAAGCAGCTGGGTGATGCTGCCGCTGCAAGGATTGGAAAGGCAAAGGCAAGAGGGCAGAGGCTCCTGCAGAGGTCAGCAGGGGTCTGAACCCCCCAGCCTGACAAAGGTGCTGCAGGGGTGCGCTCCGCCCCACTGTCCTCTCTAGTCCGGCATGGGCCTTGGCATACAGGAGGTGCTAATTACACGCTTGCAGCACGGACGCCGAGGACTGTAGAGACAGCCTGCCTGCATATCTGCAGCCCAGGCCCGGCGCTGTACACAGTAGGTGCTCAGGGGACTCTTGCTCAGGTTGGCAGTGTGCTGTTCACCTGTGTCCCGAAGAGCAAGTGCCCCACAGCGATGGCTCGCACGGCGCAGGGCCGCTGTCCCTTCAGGCCACACCAGTTAAAGGCTCAGAACGGGTACAGGGAACTTGGATTTGAACCCTCCCTCTGCTCCTCCTGCTGGGGCCCTCTCTGAGCCTCAGTTATCCGCATCAGCAGGACAGAGTGTGGGGGCATCCTATCCAGGGGTTTGCTGTGGAGTAACACACTTGGAAAGCAGTTAGCACCGTGCAGTGCATGCGTAGCAGGTGCTTGGTCAGCCTTAGTGACCACTCCCGGGCCCTTTGTCTCATGGGGACAAGAACCCATGTGGAACTCCAATGTGCCCTCCCCCGTCTTCCCAGGCATCTCTCCTCTGTCTGGGCTCCAGCTCAGCCACTCCAGCACCCAGCTAAACAAGAGCCCCTCTTTCCCGATGGTCAACTTCGGTGGCTCAAATCCCTACTTCCTGGGTCCTAGCCAGCATCTCGTGGGCCCCGTGCCACCAGCAGGTCCCAGCCTCATACACAGGATTTCCTTCTCATGACCGTATTAGGAAGCAGCCCTCACTGTTCCCTGACACTTTATATGGTCAGCCACAGAACCCAGAGCTTGGGGCTGCTCCCAAAACCTCAGGGAAAAATGAGAAGCAGGGAGAGGAGGTGCAGGAAACTCGGCTGGAAGCACAGAGTCTGAGGGTTCTCAGCTCTGTCTGGCACCTACAAGCCCTGAGGGCCTGCTCTGCATAACCAAGCCTTGTTCGCAAGGCCACAGCTCCAAGTGTCTGTCCTAGGGGCACAGTGCTTCTGCTTCAGCCCCGATTCTAACAGCAAGAAGACCAGAGACAACCTGAATGCCCATCAGGAAGGGATGGACTCAATTATTTTATTTACTTATTTAGGTACTGGGGATCGAACTCAGGTCCTGTGCTTGCAAGGCAGGCACGGTGCTGCTGAACTAAATCGCTGGCCCTAGATGGACTTAATTATTATGGAAGACTGTGCTGTTGTTAGAGAGTACAGCGAGCCTGTTAAGAAACCATGCAGCATTTAACTTGTCTGATTTATTTCACTTAGTATTATGGCTTCAAGATCCATCCACTTTCCTACAAATGATTCAAAGCTATCCTTCTTTACGGCTGAGTGGTACCTCACCGCATGCATACACATGTTACCCACTCATCTGTTGATGGAAATGTAGGCTGCTCATGGCTGAGCTATGGGAAGGGGACGTAAGGAAGGAGACATGGGGAGGGGGGCAGGGAGAGTACAATGATCAAGTTGTGATATAGTCATGTACCAACTCCCCAAGATGAATGTATTTATTATATATCCCAAACATACCAACAGAGAAACACAGCCGGGAGTGGTGGCACACGCCTGTAATCCCAGCACTCGGAGGCTGAGGCAGGAGGATCACCGTGAGTTCAAGACCAGCCTGGGCTACATAGTGAGTTCCAGGTCAGTCTCAACTACATAATGAGAACCTGTCTCAAAAAAACAAAAAAGCACAGCAGTTCCAGAACATTAAAGCACACAACTAATCGCAAAAAGCAAAACACACAACAGTGTCTGGCCTGTGGGAATAGTGTGAGGGAAGAGAGAAGGGCTTTACATCTGCATATAGAAAATATTGCTGGAGTTCATGCAAGAAACTAAGGCCACAGTTTGTCTAAAGAGGGAAAGTGGGAGGTTAAGGAATAGGAGAGAAATATGCCCTTATTTATGATTGCATTTAACGTTGGCATTTATTAACTGTTCAAAGAGATGCTTTAGCCATGCATGGTGGTGCTGCCTGTAATCCCAGCACTCTGGGAGGCTGAGACAGAAACATCCCAAGCACAAGCCCAGCTTGAGCCACCTAGCAACTTAGCAAGTCCCCATCTCAAAATAAAAAAATTTTTTTACAAGGGCTAAGAAGGCTCTGGGTTCAGTACACGGTAGAGCAAACAAACAAACAAAAACCACCACCAGGTATCTTAGATCTGAGTACACAAACACTTATGAGCAGACACAGAAAAGGTCACAATACATTTTTAAGTGAAAAGAGCAAGCTGCACACACACACACATTCTTGTGACATGCGTTGTACATGTCTATAAGCATCCATGATTCTGTTAATCACACTTCTCCAGGTATGAGAGGGAGGGGGTGGCCTTTTTATAACATACACCGATTTGTAAGTATCTTCTTGTACAGATATCCCTTGTATTGTTGAGGTTCTTTGAAACTATGATGGCTTAAAAGATCTGAAGGGCAAGGGGTGGCCTCCACCTGATTTTTCTTTGCCCCTGCAGGGCCAGGGCAGTGACTGGCACCAAGGACACCTGTGCTCTGGCATCCCTGAGTGGATGCTTCTTCTGGAAAAGGCTTGGATCTCTAGGCTAGACCTTCAGAGTGAGAAAACCTCCCCTGATAGCTAGAAGACCTTTCTAGACCACCTGGGCTTTAGGAAGTGGAATAAGTATTGGAAAAATATCCTCTGGGATCTGTGGGTTGGGGACTTGGGCCAGGGGCCCTGTGTAGAGCAGAGTTCTCCTCACTCACCCTGAACCATGTTCCCAAGCACAGAGGCCTCGCACAGGGTGAAAGGTTCCACCCACTGCCCATGGGGGCCAAGCAGGTGCACAGGTGTGAAGGGGGCTATGTCAGTGACGGAAATAGGTATGGAGATCAGGGGCTATTAGCACTCAGCCCCAGGGCCTCAGAGATGATAGGAAGTGTGGGGCCTGAGGAAAAGCAGCATCCACAGACCCCATGTAACAGGCAGGCTGTTACATCTAACCCTGTGGCCGGCATTGGCAGGGCCTCTGCTTTTACACCAGTGCAGAAGTGGAGATTTCTTTTACTTTGATACATACAATTGACTCGAGTTGTCACGCTGGTGCATACATATAAAGAACTCAAAAGAGTCACACACCCCCAAATGTAAAGAC